ACCCAGCATATGGACTCTACCTGTATGGAGAAGGTGTATACGCCCAGGAAACCAGAGCGCTCAAACTCACCGGTGCCCCTGTGCTCTTCCTGCCTGGAAATGCCGGCAGTTATAAACAAGGTAAGTGCATGAATGTGATGGAAGGTCATTAAACATGGCCCATTACAGGTGTCAGTTCTTATATTTAAATCTGAAAATAGCAGAATAAGGCAAGTAAAAGTTGTGTGTCATAGATTGTTGGAGGAGAAGGTGACCTTTTTATTTTCAGTAAGTGGATATGCTGAGGTTGTTTGAGGACGTGGGAGTGGCTTCATGCATTTTGTTGATTAGTCTTTACCTGGCCGGCAACCAAACAGAACTGTCCTTCACAGTTTCCTACACAAGCTTTTAGTGTTTGAAGACCAAATGTAATATCTTTACATAGCACAGGAGTCAGATTTATGTACTGTCTGTTGTGTAGCGAGGAGTTAATGTTGGAAAAACTAGTTTTTGCAAAAATTTTCAGGAGTTTGATTGGTTTTTGTTTTGTATGCAATATGAACACTCATAGCCAAAAATACTGCGCCACCTCTCCCAGAAAATTGTTGCAATCACAAATTCTTTGGTAATCTCAGGTTTATTTCATTTGTTTGCATTGCAACAACACAAAAAAGCCAAATCTGATCCATTCCACCCAGAACTCCAAAAATGGACTGGACAGAATTATTGGCACCTTTTCAAAATCATCAGAAATATTTATATTTCAACCACGTGATGCTCTTCTAATTTGTAATAAAAATAACTAAATAATAAACATGAGAATACCAAAGAATTTGTGACTGCAGCAATGTTCCTGGGGAAGGGTGTGTTATCGGACAGAAAGGCAGCGTGCCAATATTTTTGGCCAAAACTGTATAAGTATAGCTTAACACTTGACCATTTAAATCACTCCTGTGGATATTTAAGCAGAAAGCTGACTATATTCCATAACTGTCTCATTATCAACAAAGTCCATGAAACATGTCTACAAGCCTTGTGTGTATCACAGCCTGATCGTATTCCTCTGTACTACAGAGGAACTGTTGTCCAGAAACACACCAGTGCACTGGGTGACATGTTTCTTCAACACCATGAACACACACACACACACACACACACACACAGTTTGTTTCGTAGTCCATGGGGACTTTACATCGACTTACATGCATTTCCTGTAGACTAACCCTAATCTTAACCAGAACCAGTACTTGCCTAACCCTAACCCTGACCCTAACCTTAACCTAACCCTAACCTTAACCTAACCCTAAACCATGTTGCCACCCTAAAATTCAATGTCTTGCCCATGGGGACCTCAATTTAGGTCCCCACCATGCAGTGGGTCCTCATGAGTTGGTATGGAGTCAGGAAGAAGTCCCCACGTAGCAGGAAAAACACGTCCACACACACACACACACACACACACACACACACACACACACTGTAGCTTATTTTCAGTTGCCCCCCACACACACACACACACACTGTCCGCCTGCTGGAGGAGCACCAAATGTGTATAAGATCTGTCCCAGCAAATACACTGTTTACAATTGGTGGAGGCACATATGACTAAAAAGGAAATTACTAATTAATTACTAATTAAGGAAATTACTGATCAGTTTTTGTAAATGAAACTATATGTTCATGACTCAGTTTTACAGATTTCCTTCTGCTCTATAAACAGATGGGCTTGTGGCTGGATAGGGAAGTTGGGGAGTATTGATGCAGAAGAACATGTTATTGGTTTTGGGATTTATCATCAAGGCATAACCTGCTGTTGAATGTCATAAGATCAACCAACCTGATTTTTATTGTGATGATAAATGTTTATATGTGGGTTAGAAACACCTCTGTCTTAAACCTGATAGCATTTCCCTCACTAATACCTGTATTTATGCGCTCTAAGATACAAAGCCACTGCGAGGATGTGCTGAGCACACCCACACTTGTTTTCATGTGAAGACAAAAACACTTGGCAGTTGCACTGTGGTGTTGGTGATGATGGTCCACGCTCTTTCTTCCTCGGCATTACTTGTT